CCCCCGGGAAGAGGGAGGGGGGGGGGGATGAACTGACATTTTTAAGCATATACTGGTAAGGGTCTGGAATCTAATTCTCTTTAGAAAACGGCTACATGGTTTTATTGATTGTGTGGATACAACGTCTTTTGCATTTTACTGTGTGTGTGTGTGTGTGTGAGTTGGCGGGGGTGGGGGGTTAATTTTATGTCATCTAATGTAAATTACAGAATCAATCAATAAAATGCCTGATGTTAAAGGAGAGAGGGGGGGATCCCGATAAATGTTTTTAAACAAAATTGCAATTAAAGTTTTAAATAATATAATGAAAACAAATACATTTATTTTTTAAGAAATTTTCCAGCGAAATGATAGACGTTTACAGCAGCTTAAGGAGGTTGGATCCTGTCATCAAAAGTAATGAGAATTTTTTATCATGTATATTTTTAGAATTTATACACATAGCTTTATTAAAAATCAAAACAAAAAATGGGGGTCAATACGCTTCTTTTGGCGCTACAGAGCATTTAGTTTGACCTTTTTGCACTGAAAATACATCTTACACATAAATCAATTTTTGAAGTTTTTCCTTCAATATTTTTTGTTCAAATAAATTATGGGAACAAAAACAGTCTTATTTTATCTTAAATAGACACATTAAAATTTGTTACAACGAAGAAATTTTCAAATTACTCCGCATGTTCAATTATTTGACCTTTTTGCACTCAAACATTTTCATTTTTCTGGCATTAAAAATTTAACAAGCAAAAAAATCATTTGAAAGTAATGACATTTTACTGAATTTAAGAAGAATGGTAAAGAGTATCGTATATATTCAGAAAAGAAAATTAAAAGTGGGGGTCTGTGATGTTAATTTTTAGATATTACTAAAATAGTCTAATTTTAAGCTTAAATTAGGGCTATTTTTTTTTCTTCATTTTCACAATTTATTTGCTATATTTATCAAATATCATGATAGAATTCATGACAGTTTATTTAATAGGTAATTTAGGACCAGTATAAAACAGTCCATTGCAAAAAAATAACTATGTGTGCAGACTGCATGTAAAAATAGGAATCCAAACTTAACATACTTTAGATACTTCGAAAGAAAAAAAATGATCATTTTCTTCTAAAAAACATTCCGCCACAAAATATAGTTCCTCGCTTAATGCTTTTGGTATGGAATTCAATCATGGAGTTTTAACTGAATATAGTTAAATTGGCATTGTAGAATCCAAATTTATTGTAAGAATTAAAACATTATGGAGAATTTTTGAAATATAAGTTAAGATAAAAATCTGCTCAAAAGCTCAGGAGCGAACCTCGTTAATACATTTTTTATTAGAAAAAAAAATAGCATATGCTATTCTTAAATGAATGGGGCTGCTCTAAAACTAAACAAATAACGATGGAAATTATAGTAAATAGTTTAGACATCGGGATCGAGATGCCTCCCTCACCTCGATACGTATACGGATACGGATACGTCAGAAAGAACAATCTCTAATAATAACTAGTAGACTAATTGTTCTCGAACAATTAGAGGTCTTTCCACCTTCTTTGAATTTCATATATCCTTCATATTTAACTCTCTACTGTTTATTTTTATACAAAAGAAACCAGAAATGGCTTGAAAAATGGAAAAAATGAAAATTTTGAAAATTTCCAAATGACCTTGACCTTTGACCTTGAACAAGTATTGAAGGTCAAAAGTCACATTGCACTTGACTCCATGCTTCTACGACTTTTAGTTTTAAAGTTATAAGGTTTAATAGTAAGCGCAAAGACATTAAAGGGCAATAGCTCATATAAGAGAAATACCGACATCTTACGAACGAACGTAACTCGCCCTAACTTCCCGTATCGCGGTAGTTTTCCCGGGACCAGTCATTGCAGTTTAAAATCGGAACAATTTAGTTTTTGTTAATTATAAAATATTTACAGTGTTTAATCTCTTTATAAATGATAATTTGTAATTTCTTATTTTTCTGTACTTCCACAGTCTACAATTTATAATTTAAAAAAAATAGAAATAGGAAAAAGCCATATACCTATGACGGTTTAGCAAATACGTTTGTCATGCGTCAGTGATTTTACTGGACAGGTGTGGAAAGAAACGTTATCTTAAAACATCGTGCAAAGGCGACAAGTTAGTACGAGATGCGCTTATATGTATATACAGTTACAAGTATGTGTGTTTGAGAGAGAGAGAGAGAGAGAGAGAGAGAGGGGGGGGGGGTTGTTTAAACGAGGTTATCTGTTTTGTGTTGGGAAAACATTCGGATAAAAATCTTGGAAAATTAGAAAAAAGAAAAATGGGGTCGGTACCTCAAATGTCTAGGTGTTATAGGTTTAACCCAGCGATATATATATATATATATATATATATATATATATATATATATATATATATATATATATATATATATATATATATATATATATGTCACAGCCTTATATATGTGGTAAAATACAACACAACACGACTGCTGGGTTCGATGTTTATATATAATATATATTCTACGATTGTGGAATTTTATAATATAGAAGGAAGGGTGACCTGAAGTATAACAACAGGTATTAAATATCTCTCGCCTCACTCACACTTTTACGCGGATCATAATTTAAATTTTATAAATTTGGAGAATTTATAAAATACTTGATTGAAATAAAATGATCAAATAGATATTGAATAGTAATTGAATCCTTAGAAATAATTTACCAGTTATTTCTTACCGTAAATCCTAGACAAAGTTCACAATTATCGTGAGATAAAGTTGTGTTGGGGAGAGAGAGCGTCTTCTCTCCCCAAAGTCTTAGGTTGGAGTCGCTTGAGAATTAGTATTGGCGCGAATGCGCAGGGGACAGAATAAAACCAGTTTGACCACTCACACACCCGTACTCTCACTGACCACTCACCCGTATAAATGAATGAATGAATGAATAAGGCAATGAATGAACATAGTAAATTCCGTAGTGAGAACGGAATTCACTAGTTACTATAATAATATAATGCCTTAAACAAATGTATGAATATGATATGAATGATAATTAGTAATATTAATTAATTAATTATAATTCACCCTGTGACATATATATATATATATATATATATATATATATATATATATATATATATATATATATATATATATATATATATATATATATATATATATATATATAAAATTATTAAAGAAAAGAAAATGCACAGTTTCCAAATTTCATTCAACACAAGCGCTTTCTGAATGAAAAAAATTGGAAACTGTGCATTTTCTTTTTCTTTTATGATTATTTTTACTGTGTGGTATGATACCAGGATTAATACATGTGGTATGTCAATTGTATTCTGAGTATTCTATATTTTTCTGAGTATAGTATTTTGCTGTAGTGAATTTTCCTTTAGATGCTGGTTGCCCCCCCCCCCCTTTCATAGTACATATAAATATATATATATATATATATATATTAGGTATGTCAATTTTGACAATAATTCATATTCGAATATTCAATGAAAGTATTCGAATATATTCGAATATTCGATAAAATAAATAAAATCTGTTTTATTTTAAATATGCATCATCCTACTCTCATGAAAGGTTTAGCGTAGGTATACTTATATTGGAAGTAAAATTGTAGGAAGACTTTTGTAGGTGTACAATAAGAAATTCCATTTGATATTTGTCAGTGTTTGAAATGAATAATTGACTGAAATGTAGAAAAGTATAATTTTAACAAATGAAACATGTGTATTTATATTTTAAAGTCGTCTTACCAAATGCAAGATATGTTCGTAACGGTATACTGTTCAGCTTTCAATACGTGTAATAAATTACAATTATCTGCCTAATAATAGATACATGTACGCTTATAACCTTTGATATAATGTTTTTAAAATATAAACAAATATTTCCATAGACAATTTTCTTAGGTAATTAACTAATTCCCGATAATGAATATAAAATTCAGGATTATGTACAACCCGATATAATCAAGTAATTTACACATTTATTCTGAAAGTGAGCCCTTTACAATATTAATTACAGACTAATTCTATCAGACATTCATTCAATGATCAATTAAATTTATTTTGATAAGTATACTCTTCACGTCTTTTAGACATTCTAAGAAGGTTTTCATTTTGTTGTCCTCGATTCTAATAAAAACTATGAAAGTACGTACGTTTTGTATTATACATAAAGCATTATTGTAACACCTTTAACACCTTTATTACTTTAAAACCTTACTCAAAACAAAATAAATGTAATTTAGTACATCTATAAGAAAGAAAATCAAAGAAAGAAATCAGGCGATCGAAATTGATCGCTAGTAAATTAAACAGGGATAATTCCAGCACTGTTCTAATCAAAATTTATTAATCACAGTACTTCTTTTTATGAAATCTGAAAAACACCGAATATTCGAATCTTAAATTCATATTCGAATATCAACTCATCGAATGAATATTCGAATGTTCGAATATTCGTTGCCATCCCTAATATATATATATATATATATATATATATATATATATATATATATATATATATATATATATATATATATATATATATATATATAAAATTTCAGAGATTGTTCAAAACATAAGCCCCGGGGTAGGCTGAGGCCACAATTGAAGGTCAATTTTGTTTACATAGGAATAAAGTTTCGGCTTCCTACGAGTTTTGATAATTAAGCACTAAGTTCTCAGTTATACCTTCTACAAATAATTTGTAACTTTTTTTAAATTAAGTAAAATTCTCTTTTATTCTGAACTTTCATTTGAATGGGTATTCATTTACGTGTATATTGTTATACATAAATATCACTGAACATAGTAGCCATACGTAGAACACCATTTTCCTGAATATTAATTATTGCATAAAAACAAAAACAAAAAATCTTTTAATATGATGACATAATTCTTAACACATTATTATTATTTCAGATAAACAATAAAAGCCTTTTATTGTTTTCGTAACAAATAATTAAATTAAAGTAATTATGCATAGCGGATATTACATGGACAAAAATTTATCCATGCATTGTTCCATTTTCCTTTCAAGACGCCTTGACCTTTCTGCGGATGACAAGTACACTTCATAGGCTTCCCTTGCAAGCTCAGAAGTTGTCTTCTTTTTAGGCGGCTCTTCCTGATCCGAGTCGTCATCGCTATCAAGCGGAATCGCTCTGCGGCGATTGACCTCACCTTCATCAACTTCAACAGCAGCAGGGGCAGGTCCTCTTAGTGGCGGTTTTCCTGCCCCAGGTGGCGCTGCACCTTCAGCTGCAGCAGGGGTGGGTCCTCTTAGTGGCGGTCTTCCTGCCCCAGGTGGCGCTGCACCTTCAGCTGCAGCAGGGGCGGGTCCTCTTAGTGGCGGTCTTCCTGCCCCAGGTGGCGCCGCACCTTCAGCTATAGCAGGGGCAGGTCCTCTTAGTGGTGGTCTTCCTGTCTCCAGTGGCGCCGCACCTTCAGCTGTACCAGGGGCAGGTCCTCCTAGTGGCCATCTTCCTGCCCCAGGTGGCGCCGCACCTTCAGCTGTAGCAGGGGCAGGTCCTCTTAGTGGAGGTCTTCCTTCCCCCAGTGGCGCCGCCCCTCCAGCTGTAGCAGGGGCAGGTCTTCTTAGTGGCGGTCTTTCTGACCCCAGTGGCGCTTCCCCTTCGGCTGCAGCAGGCGCAGGTCTCCTTAGTGGCGGTCTTTCTGTCCCAAGTGGCGTCGCCCTTACAGTTGCAGCTGGGGCGGATCTAGAAGATTGTGGCGCCCCTCCATCTACATCTTGTCGCCGATTGCTTGCAACATTTCTTGTATTCTGAAACTAAAAGAATTATATATTCAAGTTAGATATATAATAACAAATGCATGGATTTGCGGAGGACAGTAAAAAAACTATGTATTTTTTTCTAGTAAAACGGTGGTGTATACCTGTAGATAATACAAATTAAGCTAAAGCGAGTCTGTACAGACCGCATCACTTGATCGGTAGGCATCGGAAGCAAATTTAAAGGGGGCTAACTGAAAGGGGGCTAAACCAATAAAAAAACGTTTGGGGACTAATCCCCAATTTCAATGCCTATATTATGTCTATCTTTGCAAAAAATGGGAGGAGGCTAAGCCCCCCTAGCCCCCCCCCCCCCCCCGGTTTCGACTGCTATGTGAACATGTATTGATATGAAGACATTTGGAATACATGTACTTACCTTTCTTTTTCTTTCATTGGGGTGTTCTTTCGTGCTGTACCTTGAGTCATTTCCTTTTATGGACATAACAAGAGATTTTAATTCTTCATTTACGATAAACCCCCCGCTTTTGTGTGTGAGTTTCTGGACCTGGTCCGCCATTCTTCTTTTAATTTTATCGTAAGGTTTCTCTGCATACAAAACCTGAACCTTGGCTGGTAAATTTTCCTGTACCGCGGTTTTTACTTCTTTGTATATTTTAGGCCAATTACTTCTATTTTTTGAATAACTTCTTAAAATCAGAATTTGTTCTTGTGTGGATACCTCCACGTGGCTTCGTTTCTCCATGCCAGGTAACTCTATTGTGTTTTAACAAAATTCTTATTGTTATATTTCTAAAGGAACTCTTTTAAAACACCACGGATGGTTCCACTTTATATATTGGGGTATTGACATATACTGTGTACTTATTCCCCTCGGATACCTCAAAATGTGGATCTGAAACACATGTTATAATCTAATCTAGTGTTGCCAAGGAGGTTCCAAACGGGTATTTATTGATACATGTACATGTATATTTCAAAAATTCACATTTGCATAAGACTTGGATAAAATATAAGAATTACAATTATGCTAATTTTTGAAAGGTTTTTATAGTTTTAATTCAATGGATTCAAAATTTATAGGTAAACCCGTAAGCAGCAAGTTTTAATGCTACTCACTTATTCAATAAAGGTCCTTTATTCATAGGCTATCTCCCCTAAGAACTATATGTAAGTAGACTCGACTATCATGAAAAGAAATTTTTTTACCAAGTTCGTATTTCTATTGAGTGGATATTGTACAATGAAGCGCATTGAATGGTAAAATTTTCCATTTGAATAGAACGTTTTGAGCTTTCTTTAGAACGTTGATTGTCACATAATGACATGCCCACTTCTTTAGAAAGGAAAACAGCGGTCAAATGGTTCATTCGAATACCTGTAGAACAGCTTTTCTATAAATAGAATAGCCAATCAAATTGACAGTCTAGATAAACACCGAGTAAACGCGTGTTCGACCGATACATGCGTTGTGGTAACTTTAGTAAACATGATAAATTCATAATTATGTACAAATTCGTTGCAATACGTGTTTTACAGAAGTGGGGTCTCTAAATCTCTCTTCTAACTTTATAAAATCTCTATTTCGGTGTAACTCATGTTGCAAGTCGCAGAGAATGGGGTGTCCTAAAGCATACCGACGGATATTTCTTTCTCGTTTCTAAAGAAATGGGCGTGTCACCATGTAGCAATTGATGTTCGATAAGGAACACCCAAACTTTCCACTCAAACGAACAATTTTATCACTTCAATGCGCTTCATTGTATGTGCTCAGTGTTGGAAATAAAACGACCTTGAATTGGACTTGTATTTGACGAAATGAATGCTCAAGAAAAAAAATTCTGGATCATTTTATTTCAGTATTGGCGTTATAAGTTAGGTTTATTTCCTCCTTTGCCGCTTTTGCAATTTGAGCAAAATTTTGGAATTTTGTTTTTGATGAACCTTTATCAAACATTCAGTAGACTGACCAGAAGGCCTTTGCCGCACTATTTGTTTAATATTCGAACAAGGATGTTGGAAAATGAGTTAAACGGAATATTTGTTTGTAAGGATGTGTATGGTAGTCTGATATCAAGACCGTTCGAGTTCTGGATTTTATCTGGAGAGAACTTTCGATCTTTCAACGAACTTGTTGAAGAAGTTTCGCAGAGGGTCCCAGATAAGAGATTTGGAATAGACAAACTATCCCTAACAAACAGAGTTTTAATGACCTTAGTTTGGCTCAGACAATACCCCACCTACACTGTTCTTTCTTTGGCATTTGGGATAAGTCTTACCACAGTGGGACGAATTATTAATACATACTGGGTCTTGTTATGGGAAATTGTCCATCCTGTGATTTCTTGGCCATCTCTACGAGAGTGGAGGAGTTTCTGTGGGAATTGGCCAGAAATGCCTAATGTTATTGGTTGTATAGATGGAACTTCACATGAGATATTAATGCCAAATACCGAGAATCAAGCTGAATTCTACAGTGGTCACAGAAAGTACCATTGCATCCACACTCAGGTATTAAATATATGTAAATAACATATTTATCAGTACTCAGTGCCCCTAGTTGTCAATGTCGAGGTTACTACAAATTGCACTGCAAGCGTCAGCAAAATTACTCTTCCTTAAATCCCTCAAAACCTCACGATCTTGGATACCCGTGAACTGCATTTAACGAAATGAAACGAAACCTAACGAAATTCAAATAAACAAAAATAAACGCAACGAACACTTCATTCGATTTGGTTATGTTTTTGGTATTAATATAAACCTGTTCCATCAGGCAAGTATTCTTGTTTTGAAAGGGGACAACCAGAAAAAAGACATATCTGGAAAACTTAAAATTTTTAGAAGAAAAAAAGGGGGGTCCAAACTCGAAAATAATATTGTGAGTGTGTGGGTGTGGGTGGGTGGGTGTGTTTGGAGGGGAAGATATGTTTCAACTTTCTTTCAAAACCTATTTTATCATTACATTACAAAATTTTCCGTGATTTAACTATGCTACAACAAAAAGTGGGAGACCAGCCTTTCAATGAATATTTTCAATAGTAGAATCTTATGTTTGGAAAAAGATAGGAGGGCAGGCCTCCCAAATGATACTTCATGCCTGCTTAATGGTGACAATTTCTGCTTTATTAAACAATCCTAAATATGTTTGATTCGAGATGCTTAAAGAAGCAAAAAAGGGGAAAATAATTTTACGTATTTATTGACGATCGCATGAAAGCTATATTTATAATAAAAACAACCTAGTCTCATTTCACATTATGAAATAAATTACTTTAAAAATGAGACCATCGTTGATTTACAAAGTATACAAACAGATAAAGACAGAAGACAAATCCTTTTAAAAGGAATTACGTAAAATCAAACATAGTGTGTCACTGGCCCATTAAACATAGTGTGTTACTGGCCGCTGTGCTTGCACAGTTTTAAGAAAGGATTTTTGCGAATCATCTCTACATTTCTCTACCCAGAGTTGTCGTTCCCGCCCGTTGGGAGCGTAGCGGCAGACAACTCTGGATTCTATCCAGAGTTGTCTTCCGCATATGCTCCCAACACCTCTGTCAAGGCTCGTTGTACAACGCAGTTTAAAAGGTGAGTATTCAAATTTAACATCATAATAAATTAATGTAACTATCAATAAAGATTATAATTTATCATTTATTTTAAAACTGTCATCCCTTAAAACGATTTATTTTCTTGGTTACTAAGGAACTACCGGGGGTATTTTACAGAGTTAAAATTAAAACCTTAGAAAAAAAATCCTTTAAGGTGACGATAAATTAAAAATAAGTCCTTTTTACTGATAAATATTATGTTAAAAACTTTTTTAAATATAATTTTTCACAATTTTACAATTTTTCCAAGAATTTTGCAAACTGTATATGGGAGCGTTGCGGGAACGACAACTCTGGATAGAGAATGAGAACTCTCCCTACACAAAAGAGTTCTAATTGTGCTGAAGGTAACAGAGTTAATTCCCATTAACAGAGTAACAGTATTAGAACGGAAATAAATATGCATTATTAGTAATTACATATTAATACAAATCAATTAAAATAAACTTATTATGGAAAAACAAAAATTAGAAAGAAAATGTATTCTTTTACTAATGAATTATCTGACATTTAAATTTAACTTAAACATTTGAAACTTAAATGAAGAAATAATAAAATTTACATATGTTGAAAAAGAGCCAAATATTGGGATGTGTAGGGAAAGAAAACATATGTTCATAAAATTTTCGAATGAATGTTAAATTTGTCAACTTAGCGTGTCATATCGTAGTTAAAGCATTTATTTAATGCTGATAATATTTTTATCCCCCCCCCCACCCTTCGAAGAAAGGAGGGCATATTGCTTTGCTGATGCCTGTCTGTCGGTTGGTCTGTCTGTCGGTCCACCAACAATTTCCGTTCATTTTCTTCGCAGAGGTTGCACATACTGAAATGAAACTTTATATACAGATTTATCATAAAAATATCTAAGTCAAGTTCTTTTTCGGGTACGATTGAGCAATTTTTGAAAGAGTTATGCCCCTTGGACTTGGGGGGGGGGTAAGTATTTCACAAACATCCCTTGTTTGCATTCTACATTTTTGAAAGACAACATACCTGAAAAATCTTTGAGGAGATAAAAAGTAACAGGGTTTAGTAAAAATTTATGTGTGGGGAAAAGTCCCCCTTCCATACTACCTGCCTGAAGTATAGGAAGTTTTTCATCGCACATCTACTTAATTGCTTTAATTGACCTCGTTATTTTCAAACTTATTTTATATTTAGTTTTTCTTGCATTGCAGATATATAAAACCTGACTCTTAAACGTTTTCAGCCACATGTGGTATCTCATTTAATTATAGTTAATAAATTATGAAAGCATAAGAATAAATAAAACTAATGATTTCATTTGGATTTTAGAAGTAAGTTTATTTTGTATGTGTGTACAAAAACTGTAATGAAGTAAATGAAACCTTATATGCTATGTTTTATAGTATTTTAATATATGATCGCTGACACATCATCAATGTAGATTTCGTTTTGATAAGCTTTGAATTCGGAAAATCTGTAGATCCTAGCCTAATGATTATACCGGGCACCCTCCTTCCTATCATTAAGCTGACTTAGTCTCGCTTGGTTTCAGTTTTGGTTTTGTTTCGCACCGTATGATTTATTTCGTTGGTTTCGTTTCGATTTCGTTTCGGAGTATACAGGTGTCCCACACTCTTAGCCTCGTAACCTAAATTTTCTTTGATTTTTTTATCTATCTTGTATCCCTGAAAAAATTGAAATTGAAATGCTTGTAGGTTTAAATTTCATAAATAAATAAATAAAGTTAACAAGTGTTCTTAGCAAGGCATTAGATACGTCGAAATGAAATGTAAAATTACATACTTATTTGAATGACCATTTGTTTCGCAATTTTTCCCAAACTTCACCAGTTTGCTCAACATTGTGTGTACAGAAAATATATCTCTGCTATTTACCTGCTCCAATATATAACACACAATAGTGTATATACATATATAAGCAATGATTCTGCAATTGGTTTTTGAAAGATTCTGGGGGCCCCGGGAGTGGGAGGGGTGGGGGTATGCGTATAAGCTTCTTTCCTGCCCTTTCGACTTTTCTGAAAATGTCCACCCTTTTCAGATCGATTCCATAAAAACAATTTATATATATAAATATAAATATATATAAATATATATATATATATATATATATATATATATATATATATATATATATATATATATATATATATATATATATATTCTACGCATTTCAGGTGATAATCGACAACAAGAAGAATATCAGATATGTTCATTCTGGTTTTCTTGGTCATGAAAACGATGCTGGTACATACCAGCAGATTGGACCTATTGGTCCAGGACAACAACTAGATTTCCCTGGCGAATGTTATTTTCTAGCGGATGGAATTTATCCCAACGAACATCCATTAGTAACGCCATATAAATCTACGGACATTATTCGGAGACCACCTAATGAACAGCGTAAGCGCCGAAAGTTTAATCTGCTACACAGACAGAGACGTGTGTATGTAGAGCATGTTATCAAGGAACTGAAAACGTATCAAGTAATAGGTTCCCTCTACAGGCACCCAAGATGGCAACTAGCCCCGATTGTTGAACTGTGCGTAGGACTGTCAAAACGACACGCTGATTCGATAGCTCTGCTGTAGTGTGAATTTTTTTTTAAATATGTCTTAACATCATCAATACAGGAGGAGTGTTGCTACCCCTTTGTATTGAGTAAATATAAAGAGTATACATCATGACTTTAAGAGGGAGAGAGAGAAGCATATTGAAAAATCAATATTGTATGCAATGAGTTAGCATTGTTTTCAAAATTTCAGTAATCAAACGCAAAAAACGTAAAAAAAAAAAAAAAAAAAAAAAAAAAAAAAAAAAAAGAAATATTAAAAAAGATGGCACTATTTCGAAAAACGTATAATTTTTCTTTAGCGGGCGTGTATAGGTGGATGTGTGGGAGGGGTGTGTGTGTCTAGGCTTAGTTTTCATATGTATACTATGGTGCTTAAAAAGTAAAAATGGGCTATGTATGCATATGCAATAGGTCAAAAACACATTTTCCATTTTGTATGCATTAAAGAAAGTAACTTCATGAGGTAGGTAGGGTGGGCCCCTTTCACTGTTTTTTACAAGTTCTTATACTGTATTTATCTGGCGGCTGCACTTCATTATAATATCTATATGGAAATATGTATTTTAAAAAATATCAAGTTTAGCATAAAATAACCAGTTAAAAAAATCTTATTGGTTATAACGTGTTTTAATTGTAATTTTTAAAATAACATCTACAAAGTAAAGCCAGTGGCATGAATAGGAAGTCCATCATTTTAAGAATTTTTTTTTCTTTTACCTCTCCTTCTTTACATAAGCGAATACTTCAAAATAGGATATTTTTATTAACCTTGTTGGAACCCTTTCGTTGGTTTAAATAATGTAGCCTCACGGTCACGACGAGAAGTAGTTTTGAGGTATCTTACTTGAATATTATCTATTGAAATCTAAATAATATTGACGATATGAATTATACAACTCTGAATTCAATGAACGGTCCCTTTTTCTTGTTGCGTTCGTTCGTAAGATGTCGGTATTTCTCTAATAAGACATTTTTCATTTTCCCTGCATTTCCCTTTTCGGAACCCCTTCGCTCGTTTAAATGTCCATTGAAATGTATTGTAGCGTCATGGTAGCGACTACGACAAGAAGTAGTTTTGAGGTATCCTGCGGGGATTTTATCTTTTGAAATCTCGATAACATTGAAGAATTCAATTATGCAACTGTGAATACAATGAACGATCCCCTTTTTTGGT